TTCCTCTCTGCCCAACTTTCCAGCCTATCCAGGTCTCCCTGAATGGCAGCACAGCCTTCCGGTGTATCTACCACACCTTCAAGTTTGGTGTCATCAGCAAACATGCTGAGGGTAAACACCAGCTTCAACTCAGACCTTCCCCTTGTTGGCCACACTCTGCCTTCACTTGGCCACGGTAAGAAATGCAAGCCAGGTACTTTAAGGATGTAAGTAGCTAAACCTGCAGGGAGGCTGTGAGTAAAAATCTGTGTTGAATATAACAGTGAGGTGCCCAGAAAAAAAGCCTGTGCCTTCCACGTTGGTGCACCAAATACAATAAAGCTACAAAACCTATGAAATCTATGAAAGATTGAGATGCCACCAGCAAAGAAGGCTGAGAGGGCACCTTATAAATGCCGATAAATACCTTAAGGGTGGGTGTCAGGACGATGGGGCCAAGCTCTTTCCAGTGGTGCCCAGCAACAGGACAAGGGGCAGCGGGCACAAACTGAAGCAGAGGAAGCTCCAGCTGAACACGAGGAAGAATTTCTTCACTCTGAGGGTGACGGAGCCCTGGCACAGGCTACCCAGGGAGGTCATGGATTCTCCTTCTCTGGAGATATTCAACACCCTGCCTGGACGTGGTCCTGTGCAGCCTGCTGTGGGTGACCCTGCTTTGGCAGGGGGGTTGGACTGGGTGACCCACAGAGGGCCCTTTCAACCCCTACCACTATGTGATTCTATGATTCTGTAACTAATGCTGAATGTTCACGTACTAACAAGGGCATGCAAGGTTTCTGGTTTCAGTTTGGGTCTGTTAAACGATGAAGGTTCCACCCCAGCTGCATTGGTCCTGCCTGACCTAAGCTGACCTCTTTCAGTCCTCAGGCTCCTGGGTGGTTCCATAGGTTCTCCCTTACACGACATCCCGTTCCTAGCCATATGCAGTGGCCTTGAAGTAAAAAGGCGTTATGTTTAAAGAGGGTTCCTCCAAGAGGAGATCCTCTCGAGAACAGTGAGCAATCTCCAGAATTCAGAAAGAG